TCCAACTATGCAGTTTATATTTGAGTCAAGAGATGCATATTAATTAGTTAGGCTGTGAATTTTATGAAAACCTTTGACCAATTACCCACAGATGCACGCGGGCACTGATGTGATTTATTCCTGGAAAGTCTATTTGCAAGGTCCACATTTCAGAAGCAGCGTCACTCATCCTCAGGCAAATAAATTTTGCCTTCTGTGGCATCCTTGCAATAATTTTGACTTGTATTGGGACTGCTTGAAGCAAAGCATTTTACAGAGCAGTCTTATTTTTGGAATTAGATTGTATAAAACAGCGTCGTGATACTGCCTGAGGAAATAAGCAGAATGCCTAGTGTACCGATTTGCATTTAAGAAAAGGTTACTTTTGTGTTTGGGTATTTTTACCAAGGAAACTTAGTCCAACTTTATAGGAATTGCCTTTAAAAAAATACCATTTCACTAAACATTCTGAGTACTTATAGCTGCCATTCACTAAGTACGACACGGTGTTTCATTTTGTTCAGTGAGCTTCAGAATATTCCTGCAAGTCTTTTCTCCACATTGTACCTGAAAAGCCCAAGGACAGAAACCTTTCACTGACTCTTATCCAGTGCCACAGAAAGTGACTGTTAGATTCATATGCACAAGGCAGAAAACCTGTATTCTATCTCCATGCTCAAAAGACTTTGTACTTTTCTTTTTTGAAGATGAAAATTGAAGCAATAAACAACACTTTGGCACAGCACATTTAAACCTTCAGTGAGTATTTTCAAAAATCCATCAGCATAAGTAAACATAATGTTTCGTATAAGATTTCAGAATCTATTACTGTTATGGTCAGGAGAAAAGGACCGAAACATGAAAAAGACTTTTTGTTTAAAGAAGCAATAAACATTTGCAAAGGCTGCAAGTTTCTCTTCTGCATGGAAAGTTAAAAAAGGTAGAGCAGCTGTTAAAGATCAGTGAGTTTAAATCAGTGCCTTCCTCCACAAAGAGTGGCTGAAGTGCTAGAAATAAAATTAAGGAGAAACCTAATTCTGCATCACTGACTACAGCCTTCCCAGCAAATATCCAGCCACCCTCCCTTTGTATCACAGAATCTGTAATCTCCACTATCCTTGTTGTTTTTTAGCATAATAAAGTACTGAATGCCCTTGAATTTCCTATGGGCTTGTTGTGAGCAAAACCTTCCTCATGTTAAAACAGCAGGTATACTCTTCACTTAGATGCCATAAAGCCTGTAAGTCAGATTGCTTTATCTGGTAATTACCAAGCTGCAGTCTTTATTTTAACCTCAGTCAAAGAAGACATCTTTATCAGCATATCCACAGCTGCTAGGCAGGAATGATAAGTTTCACAGCTTCCCAACCTGTCCACATCATTTGAATGTACTATTCCACAGCACTTTTCAAAACAATGAGCTTCAGCCAGCTAAATCCATTGCAGGAAGCAGGAGCAATTCAGTCCTCCCAGCCTAAATGTACTCTTAGTCATTATTGTACATGCATGCTTCTTGGAACTATGTCATAAACGCATGTCAAACTGAAATTATTCTGGAAACACAATAAAACAAACAGAAACATGTAAAGAAATGTAGTGACAGAAGTCACAATTAAAGTCTTTATACCTTTGATTAATATTTAGTTTAGGGCTGCAGCTCAGCAGAGACTTCAGAGTATTTACTTTTACTTTCCCCTTCACATGACAAATAGTTCTTGGGGTTTCACCCTTCCAGTTAGGCCTTAAAGCACACCTCCCCTCCAAAACACTGCTATCAAAAGTGATACTTCAAATAAACATCATCAAACTGGTTTCCACTTAAAGAAATGTGATAATATTTAACTAAGCTTTTGCCAATTTATCTCTAACATCCCATACCTTGATGCCAAATGTACAAATATAACAGAGATAGGACATTTTCCCTCTGCAGACTTCAGTAAGTTAACATGTCTTTCTAGTTTCTAATGCTGCAGACATGCTTTTTCCAAATACTCACTAAAAATGCATTCATATAGAAAAGGATCAAACCCAGAACCTGAATGGTGAAACTGCAAACCTTCCGGTCCATGCTAAACCTCTGCAGCTCTTACTGGGCCTCTTACAGCTTTCCTTGGGGTGTGCTATCACAGTGGAACCCACCTCACACAAAGCGGAAACGAGACACAGAAATGTGCAAAGCCTTTGAGGTTCAGCCACCAAAGAGGAAAGTACAAGCTTCCTATATTTGAGTTGTCACTACTTCAGAATGTCATTACTGAAATTCTTTAAGACTTTTTTTATAACTCTAAAAGTCCTTCTGGTTGTGACTCTGCAAGGCTATTTCTGTGCATCCACATAAAATAGTTTCCTAAAGCTTTTAGTTCTGACATATCAGAATTTCCACTAAACAGATCACCAGAACTGAATGCTTATGGCTTTTAGCCACACAAAACACCATTGTGGTTTCTTGCCCCTACTAAGTACATGTGTTCCACCTATACTTTCAATTCTACAAGCTCTATTGCAGAGAAGAACCAGTTAAATTGCACGTTGTTCGTATTACAAACGAATCCTGTCCTAAAGCTTGACCCAAGCAGACAAAATTCATAAAATATGATAAATGTATTGAATAAATTCAGTATCCAGGTATAGTCCTGTAAATGGAAAATAACAGCACTGAAACAAACGGAGTTACCATGGCGAAGAGTCTGGAGTAACTGGGAGCAGAATTTGGCTACCTGGCATTTACCCACTTTACTCAACTTGAAGTCCTGGAAGGTCCAGACAGCCAATAACTACATACTTTGTGAGGAGAAATGTCTAGAAACCCAGCACACAGAGGTGAAATGAGGATAAATGCTTTGCCTCCACGCTGAATTTTCTGCATTTTGTTAGTCTAAGCCAGGCCATGGGTATTCCTGTAATATGCCGTGAATATTTTCAGCACGGAATTCCATTTCTTTAAAAATAAGACATGATTCATACCAAATTCACATGGCAGGCCCTGGAATTTTAAAGCAGCTTGCACGTAACGTGCAGACATGCAGACCTTCCAACGACTTCAGTTAGGATCTCACTTTCTAGAGATTAAATATAGTTGTCTCAACTACGGACAGAAAATACTTGTAGATTTAGCATTTCTTTCTGCACCCAGCTTAAGTACTTAGAAATAAATATATTAGGTGCTCAGATCTGAGCGGGGAGAAGGCTTCTCACAGCAGCAGCCACTTCAGGCAGCCGCCCCAGCACCTCACGTGTGGCAAAGCACGCCTCATAGACGGAACGTACTCAGAAAAGTCCGCCAGAACTACGGCAAGCCCGCGTTCACCGCCGGTTCGCACCGCAAAAGTTGCCAGAGCCGAGAGGAACCGCTCGAGAGCCGCAAAGCTGGGAGAAGCTCTCCTCTGCCGCACGAGAGAACGCTAGCAGCCCGCGCTCCCCAGCACGCACCGCCGCCCGCCCGGCCGAGCGCCGCGGCTGGAGGAGCGGCGGCAGGAGCGCGGCTCCCCGCCCCGCAGGTGCCCGCCGCACGCGTGCCGCCCCTCACCTCGGCTCCTGGCGGCGTTTTCTCCCGGCCGCGACCGGTGGGGGTCGGCACCTCCCGGCGGGTAAAGCCGCCGCTCTGCCCGCGCCCGCCTTCCCTCGCCGCGCCTCTCCCCGCCCGGCTGAAGGCTGCCAGCGAGCGGGACGCCGGGACCGGTGCCCCCGCGCGCCCGCCTGCCCCCTGCGAGCGCCGAGGGCGGGGGGAGTCCCGAGGCCGGGACAGCGGCTCCTTGTCATAGCCGCGAGTGCTGCCAGCGGAGACGTGCGGCAACGCGCGCCGAGGGCGCACCGCGGCGGCTCGGTGCCGGCCCGCTGCCCGGCGCCGCACCGCGAGGCGGCCGCCTTCGCTTCTGCTCGGGGCATTCCCGATGGGGTTCGGTGAGGCGACGTGAAGCCGGTGTCCGCTGTCGCCGCCCTCGACAGCCCCCAGCCCGTGGGTTTGCAGGGGGCCGCCCTTTGTCTTTCGACATCTTTCAGGAAAAACTTCTTTACAGCAAGGGTTGTTAAGCACTGCGATAGGCTGCCCAGGGAGCAGGTTGAGTCACCATCCCTGGATGTGTTTAAAAGCCATTTGGATGTGGTGCTCAGGGACATGATTTAGCAGTCAACTTTGTTAGAGTGAGGGTAGGATGGTTATGTTGTGGTTGGACTTGGTGACCTTGAAGGTCTTTTCCAACCTGAGCGATTTTATGATTCTTTCTCATGCTGTCTGTGTGGCCCATGGCTTAATGGCCAGGTACTTAAGTGTCCTGAGCTTCAGGCTTGCCTAGTTATGCACGGCTGGCAAATGACATTTGTTTTTCAGACTGCCACCATCTGTATTCACAACAGGTTTAAAAAAACATTGGGAATGGAAACTGCAGCTGCTGTAGGAACTGAGGGGGGGAGATGCTCTCCCCAGCCCTGCCCTTGTACAGTGCGAGTGCAGCATCTGGTTTAGGTTAGATATCAGGAGGAAGTTTTTCACACAGAGGGTGGTGAGGCACTGGAACAGGTTGCCCAAGGAAGTTGTGGATGCCCCATTCCTGGAGGCATTCAAAGCCAGGCTGGATGTGGCTCTGGGCAGCCTGGTCTGCTGGTTGGTGACCCTGCACGCAGCAGGGGGTTGGAACCGGATGATCACTGTGGTCCTCTTCAACCCAGGCCATTCTGCGATTCGATGGTCTGAGCGACAAGCGCACGACCCTCCCAAACACCGCTTTCAGCGCAGCCAGCGGCCGTGACGTCACCACAGAGGTTAGGGCGCCCCCTCGCGGCACACGGCCGCAAAGCGCCTCTCTCGCCCCACCCTTGCTCTGCGCGCGCAGCCCTCTCGCCCCGCCCACCTCCGCGCCCGCCCTCCCCGCGCCGGCGCTGATTGGCCACCGTCTTCCCGCTTCCTTCTCCCCGGCTGAGAACCCGCCATTTTGAAAACCTTGTTGATTCCGGGAGGGGGAGAGAGAGGGAGAGAGAGAGAGCGAGGTGAGAGCGAGCGGGACGCGGGGCGCGCGACTCAGTCTGGCAGCGCCCCGCCCCTCCCCCTCCGCGCGCCCTCCCCGCCGCCACCCGCCGACCCTGCCGCCACAGGCGCTCCCGCTGCAGCAGCCGGGGCTCGAAACGAGGTGTGTCCGCCCGCCATGGCCGCACCGGGCCCTGCAGAGCGACCGCGTTCTCTCCTCGGGGCGGAGGGGGGGGGGCGGGCGGCCGCCGCGTTCGTGCTGCGCTGTCTGGCGCCATCGCGTCGTTCGGGCTGCGCGCCGGGACGGGCGGCTGGCGGGGCTGGTCGGAGGCGGGAGGGGCCCCTCCTTTCTCCCCTTCCCAGCCGAAAATATCCCCAGTGTAACTCTGAGAAGCGGATCTCGGCGCTTTCATCCCTCTCCAGCCCTCCTCGCCGGTCTGGGCGTTGCCAAGGCGGAAAGTTCCCAACTTTCTGTTCTTCTGCGCTAAGAGGCGGGGAAAGGCAGGTTGGGCAGAGCGATCGCTTTTTCTCAAGAAAAACCGGAGGGTTTTGTTGCCTGTACCCCGCGAGAGACATTTTCTGGGCATTTTGCAAGGAGGTGTGAACTTTTTCTCCTTCATAGTGCAGCCCGCGGTTCCCGTCGCCTGTTTGTTTCCTCTGTGTGATTCCGAATGTTTCACGGTTTGGGAACTGGTGTGTGGAAAGTGCTGATAAACCTCTTCAGCAGCTGCAGAACGAGCGACAGCTTCTGAGTTATGTTAGGTGCTGCGTATAAGCAGGGTGTTTGAGTTCGTGTCTTCAAACATGGGAACGCCCGCAGCTTCTGCAAGGGTGCTGTGTTCTCATGGCTCTGCCCACTGCTTTCTACAGAACTGCACACCATGTCTGCTGTTGCTTCCTCTAAAGAAGATACGATGTCATCTGAAAAAGCAGATGAGAAACAAGCTGAGGCTGAAAGCAAAGCTGAGGAAAGCGAGGAGGATGAGGAGGAGGAAGAAGAGGAAGAGGAAGAAAAGGGTACGTGTCATGGAACCATAGAATGGTTTGGGTTGGAAGGAACCTTGAAGATCATGTAGTTCCAAACCCCTGCTATAGGCAGGGACACCTCCCTCTAAAACAGGTTGCTCGCAGCCCCATCCAGCCTGGCCTTGAGTGCTTCCAGGGATGGGGCATCCACAACCTTGCTGGGCAATTGTACTGCAGCATCTCCTAACAGCAATTGTACATCTCATGGATCACAAATCATTTTCCAGTAGACTAAAACAGACGAGACTAGAAATAACAATACTATATTCCTTAGGAAACAATGGAGGGATTACCAGCATTTTCAGTTCGTACACTAGGGATTTTTTGTTGCTGGAGAAACTTCTGGAGATTTTAAGACATATCATCCTGTATCAAATCATTATCTGAAAATTGAGCACTTTTTTTTTTTTTTTTTTTTTTTTTTTTTTTTGCCAGTAACACTTTGAGGCAATACACACTTGCAAAAGATAGACAAGAATAACCCTGGCATTGCTTTAGAATAATACAGCTATCATTTGCCAACCAACTGATAATTACTTTTTTGGGTGCCACAACTTATTTGTAGTGGTGAAGGAATTCCATGTGACTTATTTTACCAGCGGAAGTCATGGTGATGTTGAAGAGACAAGCAAGATAGACTGCATCACGTATGTGAAGAGGGTAGTGAAGGCATAGGAGATGCGATGAAGGAACTACTATGCAAAACTGCTGGTGTTAAATCTCTAGACAACTATTTTGCAAATGAAAACATCTGTGCAAATAGAGCTGTGGTATGGCTAGTGAAAACCATGTCACTGATGGTTTTGTGTTCTTAAAGGAGCAGAGCTTTGTCTTTAGAAAAATGTAGTAGAAAGGTTATGCTGTTTTAAGAACAATGGAATAATTTGAACTAGCTTTTTACGAGCAGCTGATTGTCTGTTCACAAGTGTGTTTTGCTGTGTTCTCACCAGGTATGTGTCCAGATTAATGTTTGTGCACATTATAAAGCTGCTTTTCTATGTTAAGGCCAGAGCAACACTATGTGCTAAGGAAAGTGTGATATGTGATATAAGGTCAGGTATTTTACAACGAGGTGTTCATGTTTGTGAAACAGTGAGGCTTTTCTCTTGATGTAGTGTTGTTAAAGTAGCTATATGGAATGTATCCATTAAGCCAATCTAAACGTATTCATAGAATGGTTTTGGGTTGGAAGGTACCTTAAAGGTCATCTAGTTTCAAACTTCTTACTGTGAACAGATTCCTTCCACTAAAAGGAAGAAGTATTATATTAAATTATTTGTAATAATGTTCTTAATAGTTTGGAAGATGTTAGTATTGTGCTCTGCAGAGTGCTGCACAGCATGTCTGTGTGTGATTCGGTACAGTACCACTATCCTTATGTATCTGCATTTTCTACTGATAGCATTCTGCTATGTGTTCTCCATTCCACTGGTGGGAAGAGAAAGAGGCCGCAAGCAAGCTGGATTCTCCCTTTGCCCATTTGTTAGCTTTCCTGTAAAGAACTGGAGTAGAGCTGTGCATCTGGGGGCTGGAGCAGAAGGGGACAGAATGAGACTGTGCAAGTAACGTCTGCTCTGTACCTTAGAAAGGTGAAGAAAGGAGAGAAGGCTGGATTTCTGATAATGCATGGAGATGCCATCTTCATCGTGAGATGAAGATCCCTTTAGGAAATGTCCGCTGTCCACCTTCAAGGATAGGTTGGATGTAGGATTGTAGTTAAGGACGAGAGACTCAGATCTACAGCTCTGTAGAATCCTATCGACCTTTATCCAAAGGTTTGGAAGTCTTATAATGCTTGGTTATATTGTTATCCTTTTTTGTTTTGCTTTTGCAATAATTCAGAGGTGTATTGCCTATCACTGCAGTGGAGTTGCTGATATAATGAGGAAAAAAAACTTTAAAAAAAAAACACCCTGTGTTTTGCAGAAAAGAGTCTCATTGTTGAAGGAAAAAGGGAGAAAAAGAAGGTAGACCGATTGACCATGCAAGTGTCCTCGTTACAAAAGGAACCTTTTACAATTACACCAGGTAAGCTTGTCCTTTCAGGTAAGAATTACGGGTGTTGAAATGAAGATGAAACCTCTCTAAAGATCAAATTGTTATCTTGTAGGTGAGACCTAACTTAACTGAATCACTGTGTGTTTCCGAGCAGTAAGGCTGTTATAATTATATGAAAACTGTCTTTTATCCTACAAGGTCACATTAAACAATAGAAATTATATAATGTTTAAACTTAGCTCTGAATAGGCTTTTCAGTATCTAGCGACCACTGTTGTTGGAACATCTAGACTAAAAAGAAATGCCAAGTCTGTTAGCCGTGTTACAGGTAATTTCAAGTAAGGAAAAAAAGCCCTTATCAGTGCCTAGTTGATAAGGAATGACCTCCCCAACACTTGACTTGATGCTCTGCAGAAATAACTTCTTTTACATTAAAAAATATGTATAGATAGAATATAAAGGTAGATGGATATTTGAAGTTGTGAACAGATGGGTAAATAAGAAGGTGATTTCTTTGTGTTTTTTTTCTTTTGTTTGTTTCAGGAAAAGGACAAAAACTTTGTGAAATTGAAAGGATACAGTTCTTTCTGAGTAAAAAGAAGACAGATGAACTTCGGAACCTGCACAAACTCCTCTACAACAGGCCAGGCACTGTGAGAACTTAAAATCTATCTGTATAACTAGTAATTTTCATGCATGGTGAAAAAGTTTATTCTATAGGCATTGTTTTCTTCTGCATTTGCACATATAGATCTACTTAAGTGTCATTTATTACAAACTACTCTTGAAAATTACTGCTCGAGCCCATAATTCTTCTCATTTCTGTAAGCTACTCTGAAAATCTTGTGGAGAGGGATGCTGAATTGTAAGCCTATAGAATGTAGATTTCCCCCTTCCTCTCCACTCCAGGTTAGTGATCACTTTATGCAAATGAATTTGCAATAGTTCATGGCTGACATGCTAAAACTGCTGATGTACGTGGAATATTTTGACTGTAGTCTGTATAGTTACTTTGAGTACAGCTGCGTCTTACTGCTTCATTTATTCTGTGGTACCTGCACTTGTGGGTTTCACTACATTGCTACCTACCTAGTCATTTTCTCCACAAAGCAATGGAAAGCAAAAGTACATCAATACGTAACATTTTAATAAGTGATTTTGTCATATTTGCCTAAAATAAGACTGAACTGAAAGATTAATTAAAAAAAAGATATGCTCTCTCTTATATCCAAGGATCAAACTCGATCCATAATAGCAAATAGTTCTTAGTGCCTATTACATACGATTGATCGTGCCTTAAATTTCAGAATACATCTGGCCCATTTTCTTTGCTACTAGGAGTGAAATGGAGATGGAGTAATTAAAGCAGATTCAACATCATTACTTCAATGCACTTTATTTTTAAGCTCTTGTATTTTAGAAACTTAAACAGCTAGCACAGAAATGAGGAACTGAGTAATACAAGTACAAATGCTGGTTAGAATATCTGAAACCACTGCTGCAAATGGTGTGGTTGTTTAAATGACACAGTGAAGGTCTGTGATCTCAACTATTCAGGAGGAAAAAAACAGTGTATATTCATTAAAATCTCTGAATTGTGGTATTTATTTGGTGTGTCAGTTAACAAATCAAGTATTTCTGGCTCTGTATACAGACATTTGGATTGTTTTGCAGTAGAATTTCATCATTTGATGGGAAAAGTGGAATGACAACCGTGTAGCTTTCTGATCAAACTAGATTTTTAGTGCAAGTTGTGAAACTGCATCCATTTATGAAACTAGTGATGCTTTTATATCATCTTCTGGTAGAGGTACTGTGAATCCCTCTCTCCTCCTATGGCTCACAGATCTGAGGAGTAACTGACTGAGGAGTCCATAACGTTTATTGGCTATGTAGTGTGTCACTAAGGCACTAACAGCTCAGTAACAATTATCACCAACTACTAAGTAAATTGCTTATTAACACAGTCAGCTAATGGGCACGTGACTATTAGCAGTTTCAGAATTACATGCAAAATAATGTGATTGGAAACTGATATTTAACACTCTTCAGTATTATGAGTTAGACAGAAGTGCTTGCATTACTTAAGACAAAATAGTTTACTTCAGCCTGAGTTGTTCTACTAATAAATACCAATACAAATAATTTTCTATCTTATATACAGAAGATCCATGTAATAAAACAACATTTTTCACTCTGTTTTTGAGCTTACATAGATTCCTGCTGTCTTAGCTCCTTAATAACAGATAATTGCCCTTGATGTATTATTCAGGCAGCCTTCTGGTTTCCTGCAAAGTTCTGATGCTCCTGTGAGATCTGTTGCTTGGGGAAATCAGGCAGCATCACTTGCTAAAGTGACTGAGATAGCTGGACAACATACTGTGAGATGACAAGATTCTGTTCGTCGTGGAAAGTTTCTCTCTTAAAAAACTGTATCTGTTCTATTTCTAAACCTTTTATTGTAGCACTTGTATCCTAACCTAAAGTGATAATCACTGATTAATTTAGAGCCTCGTCTTGTAGAACAAAGTATGTCCATCATTGACCAGAGTCACAATTTACAGAACTTTTAACAGCAAATTTGTGGTTTCTAACTATAGAATATATATAAAAATATTTCTAGTCCCAGAAAATTCTAATGATCAGATACTTTAAAGATTGACTGTATTTGCATAACTTTTGTGAAAGCTGTGCCTCTGAGCTAGAATAGAGGTGAATATGTTTGCATATTAGTAGGTACCATTTGGAAATACCAGTATGAGTTCATGGAAAACCACATTTAATCAGAGTTGTAGGGATTTCAGAATGCCATTTAAGGTCAAGGAAATCAGATGGTGTTTTGTATGCACGTTCTATATGTGCTTCAGAAAGTAGGTAATGTTTAATAAAACATGCTGACACATCTGCAGATTTTCTATAGGTACTGGGTAGAACACAAGGAGCTTAGCACTGGTAAAATCTTAAACTAGTGGAGGAACACCAGAAAGAAGAACTGTAAAATTGTTGAAAGTAGTTGCAGGTTGTACATGGTAACATCATAAACATCTCATAACATTTTGTGATTCTTTTAAACTTTTTTTGTGAAGAAGAGATGAAGAAAAAGCTAAGGAACTTCATTCTTGGTTGTAGGTAGGAGTGATTTTTTTTCATTATGAGGACTGTCTGTTATGATGAAAGCTTGCTCCTGTTCACTCCAATGGCTTAATGGCCAGCCTTGTCAGTTGAGTGATGTGTAAATACATAAATTGATCATGCAGAAGAAGAGCTTCAGAAGTGCAGTCACAATCCTATGTGAGAATTTAAAAAGCAAATAGAGCTAATCAGCTCTAACAGATCGTATACTGAAAGTTTACTATACTATACGGTACAAACTACAGTAAGTGAACGTCAGGCTTCCTGTGATCATTGTTGCACAAACATGTTTTGCATGTACTGTATTATTTATAAGCTCCAAACGGCAGGTGATTTTTCCATGCAAGTTATTAAAAGGAATTAAATTACCAAGATCCCAGGAACTTAGTTGTAATTTAGCTGTCATGAGAAAAACAGAGGCATAAGATGTAGAAGTGAATGTTCATTGGGTTTTTTATATAGGTGCAAGTTTTCATCGACGGTAAGCTGCAAGATAGAACAGATTTTTCTTCTATGAGAAGTTAAACATAATTGGATGAAGTCCTTTAAGCTGCATGTAATAGAAGTTAATCTGTGTTCTATTCTAGGTTGCTTCCCTAAAGAAGAATGTGGGTCAGTTCAGCGGGTTTCCATTTGAAAAAGGAAGTGACCAATACAAAAAGAAGGAGGAGATGTTAAAAAAGTAATGATCTCCATTGCTGCTTCATATAGTCTGACTCATGCTGTACCATCTTTTTATTTGCAACGTTTGTCTTTACAGAATTTACATTACACTCCATTCATGGTGCAAGCTTTCATCTCACTGTGCCTTAAAACCTTTCTCCTTCAGAATCAAAACCCATTTTTGCTTAATGTATATTAAAAGCACAGTATTATTCCTAGAATTGCTGTGAGATAAATATAATGATCTGGAGCATTTAGTGTAACAAAGTGATGTTTTTTGTTTTGTTTGTACTGTTTCTCCACATAAGCTACTGCCCTATTAACAGAAGAAGGTGCTGCAGATTGGTTGTAACTGGAATGAAAAGGGTTTGAAAATAATATAAAGCAGTAAATCTAGTCATAACAAATCAATGTCGGGTTGTAGGCATAGATCAGTTAAATGTTGATCTGTTGTTTATAATGTGTTACTAAATACTTTGCATTTTTTCTTCCTTTTTTCTCTCTCCAGATTTAGAAATGCAATGTTGAAAAGTATCTGTGAAGTTCTTGATTTGGAAAGATCAGGAGTCAACAGCGAGCTGGTAACCAGAATCTTAAACTTCTTAATGCATCCAAAGTCTTCAGGCAAGGTGAGATGCAGGTTGTGCTTGTTTTGAGAACTCTGTCCTGGCAAAAAAGTGCAGCTGCCTTTATGCTTCAAAGCACTAAACAGAATTCATGATTAATATGTGAGTTAATTAGGGACAGCCATTCCCAAATTCCAGTAGGCAGCATCTGCTTTGTGGCTGAGTGGAAGAGAACAGACACAGTAGTATCACATAATGGCAGTCAGTTTTTAATCTGTAAGCAATGCCAAACTAGTTAGACTGTTGCTCAGGAAACTTCAGTTTAGTTGCAGCAAACACTGAGAAGTAGTATGTACCAAGTCAGCACGCTGCCTTAGGGATGCTGATAGTCTGAGTAACAACAAAATGCAGTTTTGTATAGCCTCAAGAGTTGTCCGCTAATCTGCTGCTAGAAGAAAAAGTGTACTTATATGGGTAATGTAAAGTTTCCTTGTTTGTGCTTCCCTGATCCCTAACTGTGGAAGATTTCTTTCATTAGGGGAGTGAAGGGGATGCTTAGCTTAAAAGTGAAATTCAGTTTCATTTTATTCTGATTTATCCCTGTGCTTTGAATTTCTTCTTAGCACAAAATGTGGTATAAGAATAGCGCATACAATTGACCTGTTTTTTTGTTTTCATGATGCAGACCTCTGTACTTATATTTTTTTTTTTTTACTATTATTTGAAGGAATTTATATTTTTCTTTAAAATATTCTTTTGCATTCTGTTGCATTCTTTTGCATCCCTGGCTTTCAGCCATTGCCGAAGTCCAAGAAGACACCAAGCAAAGGTGGCAAGAAAGAACGCAGCAGTACTGGAACAACGAGAAAAACAAAACGCACCAAGTGTCCAGAGATCTTGTCAGATGAATCAAGCAGTGAGGAAGATGAAAAGAAGGAAAAGGATGATTCTTCAGAAGAGAAAGAAAGTGAAGAAGAGGTAATGAGGGCTCTTGCATTGTTTTTTTTCAACATAGGGCTAAGAACTTTTCTCTGCAGTTTGTCTGTGATTGCTACCAATTGTTGATTTGTGGAACATGTGAGGTTGGAGAGGTTTGATGTTTTACTAAATTAATGGTTTCATTTATAAAACTTATAAGAGAGATCTTGATTTCTTAGTGCCTTAAGGTTAGAGAATCGATAAGATTCTCATTTTTGTTCATACACCCGTACAATACACCCGTCCATACACCATGCAAAACCATTTGCTGCAGATTAGGGCAGTCAGAATTTGAAGTGTAATTGATGGGATTCTTACGTCACCTGTGAAGGTTTTATTTAACGTAATCTTCATTTTAATAGTAAATTCTCAGTATCTTTTCCAGTGAGAGGATGTTGGTATTTGTATCTGTGTATGTAGGGTATGACTGGATACCTAGAAGTTAACTCTGAGGTGAGTACAGGTCCCTGACTCAGCTAACTGCATTGTTTTCAGATCTTGGTTCCACATTTCTTCTGGATCTTATTTTCTGATTTCTCTTTTGGGCTTCTGTAGCCCAAAAGCCCTTCTGTAGAGCTAAAGGAGGCAACAGAACAAGCAGCCTTATGGAGATCCCTGTGTTTTACAAAGTGTTCTCCCTATTTGCTGTTCTGCTGTATATTCATTGAAACTTATTTCAGTCTTCTATAACATCAGAGAGATAAAAAACAACAACAAAACAAAAAAACCAGAAAAGCCTTCCACTGTGCATTCAGTTTCAGTCCTGAATGTAGTTAACGGAACAGGCACAAAATGCTCTGGTGCAGATGCCACTGGTTTTGTCCATATGTCTGAAGTGTGAAAGAAAGAAATGAAAGGAACCACAGGCTCCATCTTATCCTATAATTTCTTTTCAGTGGGACTTCCTTTTTAGCCATAACCAAAGCCATAGAACAAACAGCAATTAGTTAATTGGTGCCAAAGGAAATCATTTATGTGAGCTACGTAGCCTTTGACTCCAAACTCAGACAGTTATTCACTTGGGTTGCATTCCCTCTATTGAAGTGCAGGATTGGCAGACTAAGTAAATAGTCTGAGCTGTAGAAAAGCTGCTGTATGTAAGTTGAACCATTAATGCAAACACTTTTACATTTGAGAGGTTCTCATGTTAATTTAAAAAGAAGCTTCAAGGAAATTCTTTGCATCTCCATAAAACAAACATAATTCTGAGTTTGCATCTTTCTTTTCCCCCTAATAGTGAGTCAAAAGAGGGCAAAATACTACAAGTGAATTTTATATTTGTTTGTCTCTTCAACAGTACAGTCTTCCTGCTGTGAGGGAAGGAAACATGGCTTTCAGGGGCAGGAGTCTGCTTTTAGAACCTTTCTCAAGAATTCAGCTATTTAAGAAAAAATAGTAGACCCTGTTGATCTAACGGAGTCGTCTTTGCCTTCTTTCAAAAGGCAGGAGGATTTGATGACCTCCAGGCAATAACCTGGTGTACACTGAAGACTTTGGAAGTTGAAACTGACTTGCATGGAATAAAAGTGTAATTATCATGCAAGCGCTCGTATGCCAAATTAGTTTGAATATAGGAAATGGTGAAGTGGAAAATGTCTACCTTTGCAGAGCTTTAAGGTTATACCATAAAGAAGGAAAGAAAAAAAAAAAAAGGCTAGGATTATATAACGTTTAACAAACTACAGGCTGTGTTTCCCCTGCTCTTTTGGAATCTCAGGCTAAACTAGTGGTGAGCTTCTCTTGACTGCAACAGTATTCTATTGCTTTGTTTTTTGATCTGATGTACCCAGAAGGAAAAGATATCTGGAATACTTCTGTATGCTGAAGGAACATAATTTTTTTGAAGCTTAAATATGTCTGCTGCTTGTAACCTCTGATTCTGTCGCTAGTGATGGAGCTTTATCAGGAACTTAAAAACTAATTGCGAGTTTAGTTAGACTTGGGGTGATTCCTGAGTATATTTTCTGATGTTAAGCAGCAGAGGTCTCACTTAACAACACTGCTTTTTTAGCTGTATAGCTGTAATAGCAACTGTAAGTGAGCAATCCAGCATGAAGAAATACATTCTGTTCTACGGAGTGCTAGTTTCAGGGGTTGTACCAGATACCAATGGAACAAGTAGTTACAAGTTGTATGAACTTATTTAGATGTTACTGTGTAATAGCTCAGGTGACTACGCTGCCATTTAAAATTGAAATTGGAATGATGAATTTAGTAATTACTGTTAGTTGTTTTGTTTCGTGGTGTTCTTTCTCTGAAGTCTGGTCTTATCCTCGTCAAAACTTTCTGTGAGGGCAGTTTTCAGCCTTGTTAGAAGTTCTATATAAAAGCCTGTGTTAAGCACACATTTAGTTTGTGATAATGCCATGCATGTATACACACAGTATGAATTAATGTTCCCACTTTTCTCTACTGGTGGTAACTTAGTGCAGTTTTCTTTGAGTTTGCTAGCTGCAGTATTCAGCCAAATTATGGGCCAGCTGATGTATCTCTTCTCAGCTGTACTAAAAGAACTTGCTGTGTGTAGTCCTAGTGAAGTACAGCATCTAGAAATGATTTAAAGGCATGGCATGTTGTGTTCTGAAATTTTTCAGCTAATTATAAGCAACCATAGCTTTGAGCAACCTGATCTAGTGGAAGGCATCTGCCCGTGGCAGGGGTCCAAAACCAGGTGGTTTTTAGGGTTCCCTCGAACCCAAACCATTCTATGATAACTAACTGCAAATGGAGGGGCACAGTACAGCTAGATTACAAACACAATCAGAAGGTGCCAGTTTGAGTATATAGAGGAGCAACGTGAAATTCCTGAGAATGTGAATGTTTTCACCTCATGGTTTAGAAGTAGATATAGCTAGTGAAATGTATTAGTGTTGTTGATATAGTTTGTGCTGACAGAAGGGATGATTTCCATTGCTTAAGAGGAGTATGGGTTGTTCAGTAGGAACCACTGTTCTAATCCTCCATTTTCTCCTTTATAGCCCCCTAGGAGAGCATCTAAACGAGAAAAATCTAAAAAGGTGACTTCCAAACCCAAGAAAACTGTGAAGGGTGCTAATGTCAAGAAGGCGGATAGCAGCACTACTAAAAAGAATCAGAACAGTTCCAGGAAAGGTAAGCGGCTTTGAATCTTTTATCATGCATCGTCTTGTAGCTTAACAGAGATACATATTAGAAGACAGGCTTCTTTACCTAATTGTGAAGGAAAATGGAGTTTGCTGAGTTATGGATTTGAAGTTTCTTTCCTCGCACTGGTAATTTAAAGAAAAAAAATTGATTTGGGTATATTTTTATATAATTATATAAATTATATTTATAGAATTTTTATATACATTTTTGTCTGTACACCTAAAGTATCAGCCTGGTTTTGTCTTCTGTTGTAAGAGCATCATGAAGTTCTATTAAACTTCAATCTTACAATTGATGGGTATATAGTATATATCCAACATTCTGTCTCCTATTCAGCAGCTTGATATTCACAACACAGATACGTGTTCCACATGCATCCTGTTGCTCTTGTTTTCCTTATATCTGACAAATGCATGTATATGCAGCGTAGGGCAGCCCACTCAGCTGTGGCCCTGTTCTGAGGAAGAGCTTCAGCCAAATGATCTCCAGAGGTTTTTTATAGCCTTCAATTCTCTGACCCTCTTAGAGTTAAAAAGCCATCCCAGTGGCAGCATTACTAATGCAGCTTATATCCGTGTACTACAAGCACAGGTCATTTAATGCCAGCACCAGCATATGTGTGCTCTCACAGAGAAATCAGTTCAAACTAACTACTGGTTTGTCAGTGAGTTGAGAAAACAACAACTCTCAGATAAAAAAATCATGCTCATCTTCTTTCACAGCCTTGTTTCTCAGCTGTTAGGCAGCCTGTGCTAAACAATATTTTTCAGTTTGCTGGTGGCACCAATGTGATTGACTGTGTGCATGTACACTTCATTTTACCACCACAATGTGTGTGTGATGTTAGGTGTGTGCTTTGTGTATTTGTGTGTTAGATAGTCTGGGCTTAGTTTCCTATTTATTCCTGCTGCATTTCTGTTTTGAGTCTACGTCCACAGTACAAAACTTGAAATGTGAAGTGGGTCATTCTGCAAGCTCTTTATCTAGACTTAGTGCCTCTATTCTCAGACAGGATGCCAATAGCAGTATGCTGGAGTCACTCAGTCTTGGCGTTTTTCTGCTGGAAAAGATTATAGGACTGTCCTGTGCCTTTTCACTTAACTTCCCTTATGATTTTCCTTGCTTTTTGGGGTGGGCTTTTTTTTTGTTTGTTTGTTTTTTTGTTTTGTTTTTTTTGAATGGTGTTTCTGATGGCATGTTTGGTATTACAGCACTGCAAAATGATGAGACTCTAGTGAGCAGCACCATTGGGAAAAGGAATCTGAACTCCTTTTCAAAGCAAATAAGTGTTGTTTTAGGGCAGAAATGTCTCAGTATTGAATTTTTGTCATAAATGTTGTTGGTTTGCTTTTTGTTTTTGTTTGATAGATGAATATAAACAGATCCATACTTTCTAGAGTATGTATTGATTTGTGAACTGGTAGTTTACAAACAGTAATGCAGATACATAAGTAAGTGCAATACTGACAGCATTAGCTTTATTTATAAAATGATGGACTGGCAAGATATCCATTTTAAGGGTGAGCATTGCATCAAATGTTCTGATAGCTTTTGTTTTGGAAAAAGAATGAAAGCAAGTTGAAAATGTTTTATTACAATCTGAATTATTCTTCATATTTAGAAAGCGAATCTGAGGATAGTTCAGATAATGAACCTTTAATTAAAAAGCTGAAGAAACCACCCACGGATGAAGAAATTAAGGAAACTGTCAAGAAATTGTTGGCCAATGCAAATTTGGAGGAAGTCACAATGAAACAAATCTGCAAGGAGGTAAGCAAGTGATTTAGCAGTTTTTTGGGGGACAGTGAGCTGTCTGTAAGTTGACTTTTCATCTTGTTTTGTAAGCTATGGCTTACAGTCTACACAACGAAACAAAATGGTTTGCCTTGATTTATTTACTAACAGCTACTAATAGGAGGGCTTAATCTTAAGGTATGCAATGCTGTATGTTCCACAGGGGAATGAAAATCTATAAATCAAAAATAGCTACATGGAAAGTAGTGTTGTTACCTTCAAAGCAACTGCTGTGTGTTAAGGTGCAAATATTAGAGCTGTTGAACCAGTGCAGCAGATTTTTGCTGTCAAAAGGGAAGGACTGTGCTGCTCTGTGCACATTTCTGCTTGCCTTGCTCTTGCTCTTTTTGTATCCTTTGAGTCTGTTCAGTGCTGTCAACGCAGAATAAGTGCATAGTTTTCAGCTGAGTTAATGAGTTGTATAAAGTGAGCAAAGAAGCCATTGAGCTGCAGGACAGGAGCCAAGGAGGAGTGTGGGTGGGAAAGGGAAAAGTGACCACCACACAGCCAGCACTGCTACCTGGTCACTTCTTACACCAGGATAAGTCTGAAATGTGGTGAGCTGCATTCATTGTCAGTATTGGCATTTGCTGTGGTGGTGGTGGTTGTTGTTTAATTAGTTTGATATCCTTTCACTTCTCATTCATGATGATTAACCAGAGAGTAATTGTAGAATTGCACTTAAATATATTGATGCTTATGTTGGTAACTTGGAAGATGACAATTCCACTTATTACAGAAAAATAAGTAGGCATTTATTTTGAAACCTTATATAGGTTTCATTTAGTATTTTTTTTTTTTTTTTTAAGAAGGTATTTGTCTGCTTAGCAAATGTGTAGGACAAACATTGGAGAATTCTGGGTTTGCTTGACATGGCAGGTTAGGCATTCCAATTTGTTGGTGTGTTGCCAGTAGCATTTTAGTCAGTGACCAAACATAAAAAATAAATTGATGTAGATTTCATGGTCAAAATAAGGACAGGGAAATAAAACTAACTTTCCATAGTTAGGAAACTACCCCACAGAGGGAGTTCTGCCAGTTTTGCAATGCTAAAAGTACAGCGCTGCTTTCTGCTCTCTTTTTATTTAAGCTTCTATTCATAAAGTACAGAGTGGAAGTAACTCAAGGTTGTACTTTTAATTCTTTTTTTCTAGGTGTATGAGAATTATCCCAGTTATGACTTATCTGACAGGAAAGACTTCATTAAAGAAACAGTCAAAGAGGTAAAGAATTGTTCAGAAACATTTTTCCAAGTCTAATAGGAATTGGCATGACATAGTTTTACACCAGTTGTAATAGCCTCCTGTGTAGTGTTGGAAGCATCCCAAACCTCATTGTTTTGATAAATGTGAATACTGGCTTTTTTTTGCCCTTCTTTTTTGGCTCCCCTTACATGGGGTGTGTTGAGTGGTTTTGTTGGTTATTGGTTTTTGTTGCTGTTGTTTGTTTTGTGGTTGCTGGGGTTTTTTTTTCTGTATTCCTCTTCCTAAAATAACTGGTCCAGACTTTTTTTTTTCTTAGCATGTCATTACTACTTGGAGTTTCTTTAGTAAGCAGAACTAAAATTAGAGCTCTCCTAGTTTTTGATGACTTGACTCTGAAGGCTGTATGTTCTTCCAATTGCAGCTTTGGCTGTGAGTTGCTTTGTAAATTGTGCACTGACCACTGGTAACAAAACAAAGGTGGTGTAAGCTTCGTAGACTGGAAAGCTCTACAAATGAGAGAAGGAAATTGGATGAAAAGAGCTTTTCTCTATATTTGCCCCTTTTCACTGATAACACAGTTAGGAAGCTGCCTATGAGGTTTTTTTTTCTTGTAGGTTCATTTGCAGGTGTTGAAATGTTACGTGACTGTCTAGAAAATAGCTACATCTACGTGCTGTGCTGTGTTATCAGCAAAGGCATAAGAGCAATCTGTCTGCTGGAGGGATGTTCTTGGCCTTTCCTGCCAGCAAAAGTTGAGTGCATCTTCTTGATGCTAGAGGAGAGGCAGTGTGTATGTTGTAGGTAGAAGTTGAGAAAGGAGAAAACTAATGCACTTCTCATTTCAGTTGATTTCATGATCTGATTTGACTGGGAAGTTGAAGATTCCTGATTTTGTTTCCGTGGATTTGAAGATATGATAGGCACCAGCAAAAGGAATGTGTCTTACTCTTGTGGTATTTAGTCAGAACTGATTCTGCTGATCTGATGCTAAGAGTGTTAATGTAAATCGTGTCGTGTATCTTTTTTTAAAGCAAAAAAAAAAAAAAAAAACAAAAAAACAAAAAAAACCAACCCAACAAAACATGCATTTGATGCACGTTTTAGCTGAACATTCTTAAGTTTTGTGCATGGTAATAAGTGTTCCCTTTTTTATAGCTTTTGTACATCTTTGATTGCTTTGAATAATTAGATTGATTGGAACCATCACAGCTTTTTAGTCTGCATTACTAGCTTGCAGAAGACTTAAAAATCAAGATGAAAGCTGTTTATCTGTGGACATACATGCAGAGACTTGAACACTGCATTATTGGTTAAAAAAAAAAATTGAATATATATCCATTTTAAAAAAGAACAGGAGTTAATGGCATGTTAATGTCTTTCATAGTCTGAAACATTCTACAGATGCAGAATTATTCTAGATTGTCATTACTGTCTTGCATGTTTAGGCACTTGGAATTGTCAAAGCATGGTAACTAATTGGCATATAGATGTTATTTTTGTACTCTTAAAAGGCTTTCTGTTGTGTATATAAAGTTATTTTTGATTTCTTTTGTTCAAATCAGTTTTTAATCTTATCTTAGAGGATTTATGACATGAAATGTCAGTGTTCAGCAGTGAGGCTGTGATGGAAAGAGATGCAGAAGTCTGATTAAACTACGAATGAGTTGAGGTTTTACGATGTTTTTCCCATCTTGTACAGAAATGAAACTGTAGTTTTATACTTAAGCTTTTCAGTGTTTAATTTTGTACAAAGACTACAGATACGTTTGTTTCAATGGCTTGACCTTATAAATAAAGTCCCTGTAAAGACTATAGGAAACTTTTTTCAAATCTCACATTGCAAAAAAAAAAAAGTCTTTTAGTGTTTGGACTTGATGGCCTGACGTCTCAGAAGTGGATATCCATGATGTACAGTTAGGAGGTGTGATAGCTTTGGAAGCCCCCAGTGGGGGCTCTGACTTGGGCTTTACTGCACGATTGTATGGGAGCTCTCTTCTGAACCTCAGCCACAGTGCCTCAACGTGTGTGCTGGTACTCCTAAGTCTGCAGTCTTGAACTTTGACCCACAGCTTTTGGGATCAAAGTGAACTCTTTGCATATCTGTTTCTGCTGTTTTGGTTTCTGTTTTCCAAATACATTGTAGCTCATGTGGAAAGTCCTGCACTTAACATGCCAACTAACAACTGATGCTGAAGTGTGGGCTGCCATTAATGCCAAAAGCAAGGAATCTCTTTGACTACAGTATTAATGGCAAGAAGAAGCATATTTTTGCATTTTATTATTGTACAGTTGGGTAATAAGTGTTCATGAGTAATCTAAGTTCTGGAAATGTTCAGCCAGTTAGGCTACTCAGTCATCACCTATTTTGACTTGCTTTGCGTGTAATCATTCATAAGGCTGAATGTAACGGGGTTTTTTATTCAATAAATGTCTTTCTCAAAAATGTAAATCAATGTTGATGGTACGTTTGCTTAAATGTATAGTAAAAATAATTATACAGAAACGAGGCTGTTGTCTTCATCTCGTTTGGTAGAAACTACCTCAGCTTACATCAGCAGGCTTCCCTACTTAGGAGATTGTAGCTGATGGGCACGTCTTTACAACAAGACCTCAAATTGTATGCTCTGTGACTTATTTTTTTTTTTCCTCTGAAATATTTGAGTGTTAAAAGTACTTTGTAAATTTTAATTATGGAATTCAAAACATTAGGGGCTTCTACTTCCACTAGCAGTCCCAGCTAAAGCTGTTAAGTTACCTGTGTCAGGTTTTATTGTGTTTTCACGTGGATTTTTAATGCCAGTAATTTAAATCATGTAACTTTCTTGTGATTGGTATTTTAATATACCAGTGAGTTTTCATTTTTTGGGGTCAGGAAGTGTTTTTATGGCAAATGACTTCCAAGTATAAACGTTTCTTACTGTGTGAATTCTTAGGAACAGCGTGCTGCTATTTGTTGTGCACGTGCATTCCTTGCCATTTTGGAATTGTGATGGTGGAATGGAAATGGACTTGGCAACTGTCAAAAGATTGTGTTACAACATCTTAATTGCATCTAAGTGCAGTTCTCAGCTGGGGAGAAATGTCTGAACTATTTCTCAGGTAATCCATTCCAGTCTGGCTGCAGCTGATACGTGATTTCACTGTGTGGAAGGCTGTGAGACCAGTACTAGAAAATACATTTAAAAATCTGTTTTTCTTAATGCTATTGGATGTGAAACAGCTGATCAGAGCTCTAAATTCTATACAAAATAGGCACAGAAGTTAACAGTGTGTTTAAGGCACATACCCTGAAAAAAGTTCAAGATCATATGCTGACCGTAGTAGTCTAGAAAAACCAGTCTAACTTCTTGATTTAATTTGCTTTCAGTGTAATTCCTACATGCCTACAGTGTGTTTGGTTCTTTTGTTTACTTAAGTCTTTGGTATTCAGTGTTTTGGTTGGTGACCTGCAAAAACACAGACATTAACCTGAATGGCTTGCTTACACAAGCAGCTGTTTTCAGGAGTGATCTTGATCTTTGGAGTGAGTGCGTGGGTCCTGTAGGAGAAAGAAGATGGAGGGGGTCAGGTGGGGAAAAGGAAGAGTAGAAATTTGGTGGAGGGAGGATGCTACGTGTCTTTAGACAGAGAGCTGAGTTCTGGGGTGACCCATGGTACACTGCTCAGGTGCATCTGCCTGAATTTAGAGTAGGCACCACTAAACAGGGCTTACAAATAAACCTTTTGGAGCTCAGTGCTTAATTTGTAATACTGCCTTTGGCAGTCAGCATGGCAATTCTGAGAAGGCTTATCAGGTTTTTATGCTGTTTCAGAAAGAAGGTACCTCATGACCGCTTGGGTAGATTTCAAATCAGAAAGTTGTATGGCAAACGTATTGCAGAACACTTTAGGTTGGAGGAGACTTCTGGAAGTTATCTGGTTCCAAGCCCCTGTTCAAGTTGACTGTAATCAACTTCCAGTGAGCCAGATGAAAAAAACCAGTCATCTCAGGAATGCTTTGTTTTATTTTTTTTTAGTTCTATTACTTTTATTTTAGCTCTCATCACTTAGAACAATGGGAAATCTATAAGGTACCAGGATATTTTGTCTGGAACCTTGCAATAAGCAATTTAATAAAAGTCTGTGCTTCTCTTGCTGAAAATTTTTAAGAAAGCATGTTATTTTTGCTTTTCAAATAAATGTCTTTGAATTTGGAAATGATTATAAGAGCAAGTAGCCAGAAGTTGTATATCAAAAATTATGTTCAGATGGGCCTTGATTTACGGGAGAAATGGGTTGATGGGAACATCATGAAGTTTAGCAAATGCAGAACCCAGCATCTGGGAACAGTAAGCCTGTGTAACACTTCAGATGGGGACAAACTCGTTTCTTTCTAAGCAACTTGGCAGAAAATTTTCAGGAAAGGATCTGGAAAGGAGCAAATGGTGGTGCATCCAGTAATTGGAACTGGAGTTCACCTGAAACCCCCGTGTTCCATCACAGGGGCATAATAACACTTGTGTATAGCCAGTAGGTCAAGAAAAGCAAGTATTTCCCTAAGTTCAGTACTTGGGAGCTTGCCTTGGGATTGTTGTGCTCAGCTTTGGGCTCTGTGAGATAAGGAAGGTATGGGCATCCTGGAGTGAGTCCAGTGGAAGGCCACCAAGATAACGGGTGTGGAGCACACGATGTACAAAGGAATGCTGAGCAAGCTGAGCTTGCTCATCTTTAGAAAGAGACAGGTAAATGGGGTCTGTATTGCAGCCTGCAACTGCCAAGAGAGAGCAGAGAGCAGGCAGGGGGTGGAAGGGTCCTCATTACTGGAGGTGTTCAGGCAGGGCCGAGCGACTTGCCTTACAGTGGCCCTTCTCTGAAAAGGACCAACCAGATCATCTCCAAAAGTTCCTTCTGACGTGAACCATGATTCTATGAGAGTGGATGAAATATTTTGCATTTCTTGAGAAATTCCTTATCCGAGCAGTTGTGTTGCTCTGAAACATCCAATGGCTTTGGGGTGGTGGAATAACAATGATAAGCTCCAACAGGTACAGTTTGGTGAAATTCAGAGGGTGTTTATCCTGCAAGTGTAATGGTCTTTGGCTATTTTATACAAAGCAGCTGGCTGTGAGGAGGGAGAGAAACTTAGAGTCTCTTACTGATAAAGCATTCGTAGTTTTGTCTACGTCTAATACTCAAATCTGCAATAAAATTTGTTCTCTTAGAAGAATCTCAGGCCACAAATTCAGTAAAAACCTGGCCTCCCACATATTCAGTGGGATGGCACTGGTAGCACATTCACCATGCCTTTCTTCCTGAGCTTCTTCACTGGACTACAGCTTAAACTTACTACTTACTTTACTCTCATTTATAAACTAAATTATAGGCTAATGTTTTAGAACTAAAATGAGAAAAAACAGAAATCTGTAACACCAGCTATTTTATTGACTGGGAATTGGGGGCAGTGGTGCAATCTACTGCTTCATAGTACCTGATTTTAGAAGTAGCATTGGTATTTTTTTCTGCTTTAAAGATTCTCAGTGTTAGAATGAAATTACAGGTGCTGGGGTCTTGAAGAATGGTAATGAAAATTCAAGGAAGAAATAACACAACTGCCCTGAGGATACTTTCCAGTTTTATTCTGCTGCCATAACATAGTCACACAGAAGAATTGAAGTGTAACAGATCATGCTCTGCATTCAAATATGTTTGATAACATTTAAACAAATCTGCTCAAATAAAACATTCCCTAGTTCTTTATTTGCAGGGAATAAATTAAACACAGAAATAAAAACACATACATGCTTGGAATAAAATTTGACATGAGCATTTGGAAAAGAAAACTGGGGGAACATTAAGAATGAAGCCTCAGAACCAGCCTGATGTTCTTATATATTTTAAATGAACATAAGGTAAAGTGGAACATACTTATTTTTATTTACTCCTCAAACTTAAGTGCAGCGCAACACCACTTAAGTGCCTTAGCACAAAAATAATATACAAATAATTAATAGTTACTGATAAATTTATCATTTCTTATGTTAATGCTATAAGAAGTGTGCAGCAGCTAAAGCCAGCTGTGATAGCATTGGTTCATGTCCTCCTCTATTCTCTAGCGTATCGTTTATCTACCTGCCAACTTAGAGATAGATTTAAAACCCCAAGAACAAATTATCAGCATGGAAGCACATGCCTGAAATAAGCATGTTCATGCAAACTTTTCAACTGTAGAAATGAAGCTGTGTTCCTCTTTCTAGGCAGGTTTTTCTTGAATAAGTGATTTGTTATGAAGCTGACAAGTTTTGACCACGGTCAGCAGAAGCAGCCATTGAATTGAATTAATGTTTCGAGCTCATAGCGTTAAGCTTGTTTAGAACCATAGGATCAGTAAGGTTGGAAAAGATCACCAAGATCCCATCACCCATGCCCACTGAACAGCATCCTTCTGTGCCACATCTGCCCTTTTCTTGAACGCTTCCAGGGATGGTGGTTCCACCACCTCGTACATGATAAGCTAGGAAAGAAACTTGGAACTCAAATACGTACAGCTCCCAATCTTTCCTGCTTAAGCTGTAAGTGAGCCTGCAATGTGTGGAGTTAACAAAGTGCAAATAATTACCAAAAGCAAAATCTGATGTTTGATTATCTTTCATCAAAGGATTTTGTCTTGCTTCTTATAGCCTTTGAATTACAATTTAATATTTGGAATTACTTTCAAAACTGTACATACTAGCCTTTATGTAGAGAAAAAATTATGAACAGTTACACTTTTCCTATTAATCTGCATAATTCAGCCTTAAGAAGCAGAACAATATATATCTGAAAAACATTAGTTATATAAACATCTTCACCTCGTAAATTAGAGATTAAATAAAGATATTTAACAATATCATTGCTACTCTAAGAACAAGTTATTAGGTATTTAAAAAGAATTGCATTTATTCAGTAGCATTTTTCTTAACGTTGCTTTTGTTGTTTCTAGTGATACAGCTGTATGGAAATAAGCACTGTTAAAAGCTGAAAAAGCTGGCTGTGTCACTCTTACATGAAGAGATCAAAATATAACAAGAAGGGGGAAGAAGAATAAGTGCTTGCTATCCTTCCAGAAAACACGAGGCAGTAAAGTTACACGGAAGGTATGGCAGAACAGAACTAAAAGTTGGTTTTAATTTTTGTTTCCCACGAATACCATTTTAGTGGAACAGTATTACAACAGGTATCCTGATTGTGCCTGTCTGATTTCTACTGAGAAATACTTTGTCTTCCCCGTCTCGTGGAAAAACTATTAGCTAGATGCTTAGCTCTTACTGGATAACTCCCACAAGTTGTTTTTCATAATACTTTAATAACAAAAGAAAAAGAAAAAACTTCAAGTCAAAGTGCATGCTACCTTGTTTCAGCCCTTCATAAAGTTAAAGTTAATATTTTTCCTCATTCATCTTCACTGATTTTTAAAATATGAAAGCTGAATGA